AACCACGCGTCGCTTGGAGTTTTGTTCCCGTTGTCGGCCACTAACACGAGCGACTCCTTTGAATCATCGGCCTCGCCGGATGCCGTGTGCGCGTTGCCCTCTTCGTCCCGCGCCTTCGATGGAGTCCAATCGCTCGGGCGCTTCCGACACTCACGCCAAAAGTGTCCCGGTTTGCGGCAATAGTGACACTTGCCGCGATGCTCGCTCCCACCCGACGATTCATTCGTCGCACCCTTGCTCCACTTGGACTTCTTTCCGGAACTCCCTCCGGAGTACATGGCGGTCCCCTCGCTCTCATTCGCGAATTGTCGGCGACGTGATTCCTCATGGAGAAGCCGACCGACCACAATTTCCTTCGTCCAAGTGCCTTGCACGCTATCGAGTGTCGTAATCACCGTCGACCACTCTTCCGGAAGGCCGCAAAGCAAGGTGAGAATCCAATCCTCCTCCGTGACCGTTCCACCGAGGTCCATGAACGATTCCCCGAGTTCCTCCACACGAGTCGCATACTCGTGCATCGATTCGCCCTCGCGCATCTTCACCGTGTAGAACGCATTCCGGGCTAGGATCTTGCCGTGGAGAGTCTTGTTCACGTGGATGGTCTCGAGCCGCTTCCACGCTTCATGCGCCGACGCTTCGAGCTTGATGCACATGCGCACCGAGCTCACGAGATTGATGCCGATGCGCGAAATCAACGTAGCGAACGCCTTTTGGTCCTTCTTCTTCCATGCCGCGATGCCGCTCTCGTCGTCCGGCTTCTTCTCCGTTCCATCGAAGAAACCCCAAAGTCCCCGCTCCATCATGAGCACTTGGAACTTAAACTTCCACGCGGAGTAATTTTGTCCCGTGAAAATCGGTACCGCCGACGTGTCGAACATCGTCGCGGTTGCCCAGGGTTCGCCGGAATTTACAACGACACCATCCAAGGAAGTGCGGGAGGCCTCGCTTGACGTCATCATGCTTGCTCCTTGTCGTGCGCGTAGACTCCTCCGACCAGCTCTGATACCACTGTTGTAAAGGACTCTCCTCTACTTTGCAGGAACTGGGATTTGCACTAAACGATAGAACTCTGTCTTAGCTTTCCAACGAGCCGTCACACACGTCGATCGCCTAAGTATCCGCCGAGATATAGGCGTTCACGTGTTGGGTGGTGCTCTTGAATGCAAGTATAGAAGCTCTCTGGAATTTGTGTTCGAATGCACTTCATACAAAGTGATTCAGAATGTTCAGTATGTCACATGCAAACAAAGCAAACATGTTTATAGCTACTCAACACATCGAGTCGCACATGTAACATCGAACCGCGGTACACTCGCGAATGTTCGAGTAACATTTCGAAGGGGTGAAATTCGACACTCGAATTTCACCGAACCGAATGTCACTTCAATCTCGAATGTTCCTGGTGCTGCCATGTGGCACCGAACTGCAGGTCTTCCGAAGTCAACCAGCACCTTCGCGAAACCTGCAGTGAAGTCGATCCTTCAACCCCACGCCAACCTGCAACTCACTCGAAAGTGAGCACCAAGCCAACACCGTTCGGTGGTTGGGGGCAAGGTTGCCTCACGCAACCTCCAACAACCAAGACTCTCCTGCCTCCTCGAGAGTGATCTACCAACAGCAGTTTTCCCAGTAGCTCAGCTACCTTGTCTCAAGTCGCTTGAGTTCCGGATTCCCAGTCTCAGCTTCACTTCATTGTTCCCTACAGAATCACCGTGTAATCGCCGAGAACAGCTGGTGCTCACCGACTCCACCAAACTCAAGCACATGTCTGATGACATTGGAGAGCTGTTGCCGTGCCTACGTGAGCTGACCATTCGGAATTGTTATGGGCTTGACCGATTCCCGAATAATCTTACATCCCTCACTGCATTGGAGTGCTTGTCGCTTATCAATTGCATGCGGCTTCGCAGCCTGCCTGAAGACTTTGGGCAGCTGCCTTCGCTCAAGTCACTGATGCTGCAGAGAGTGGCTCTTCGAGAGCTACCGGACTCGCTCTACCAAGTTACATCGCTGGAAGAGCTGTCCCTGGTTCAGTGCTATTTGATCCAGCAGCTGCCAGCAGAGTTTTACAGCCTCACATCTCTCAAGTCACTGAACCTCAAGTATTTGGAGCTGAGGGTGCTTCCAGAGAGAATTGGATGGCTGAGTAACCTTGAGACCCTTCAACTGCATGATTGCACGCAGCAGCTCTTCCCTTCGTTTGCGCAGCTGATTTCTCTAACGAGTCTCGAGCTTGGCAGGTGTGCAGTTACAGTGCTCCCTGAGGGTCTGGACAATCTGAGTAGCCTGCAGCATCTCTACATCCATGACTGTGATGATGTCAGTGAGATACCAGATTCCATTACAGAGCTCACTAGCCTTGTCACCTTGATCATTGAGGGTTGTCAACACCTGTCTTTGCTGCCAAGAAGGCTGAGTAGCCTCATGGAGCTGAAGTGTTTGAAGATAAGAACGTGCAGGCATCTGTCTGGGTTCCCCGTGTCGCTGCCACCCTCTCTTGAGATTCTGTCGTGGTACAGTAACAGTCGGGCTGATTCACTGCCGCAGATTTCTCTGCCGTCTTGTCTGCAGCAGTTGGAGCTGGGGTTGGCAAACAGCGTTCATGAGTTTCCAATCTCCCTCGAATCTGCTTCTCAGCTCCACCTGCTGAGTATCTTTGATGCTGGGTTCATTCAGACACTCCCACAGAGCATCGGTTCAGCTTTGTAGCAGCTGCGCGATTTGCAACTATACAACTTCAAAGAGCTCAGGGAGCTGCCAGCAACAGTCTCTCAGCTCCAGCACCTGACATCGTTGAAGGTCCGTGCATGCAAGCTGGCCTCAATTCCCGATGGCATCATCGATTATCGGGATTGCGTGAACTGGATTTGTCAGGGTGTAAGGCCTTGGAGAAGCTACCATCGTCGCTTACACTGTTTGGCTGCCTCTCAGTGCTTAGAGTTGACTGTACTTCCATCAGCTTCCTTCCTCCCAGGTTTGCACAGCTGACTAGGTTGAGGACACTCAGCCTCTCTCACTGTGAGCAGTTGAAGGCCTTACCAGAAGATCTGACTCAGCTGAAGGCGCTGCAACATTTGATTGTCAAATGGTGCCAGCAAGCGATTGAGGGCATGTCCCGTGCACTGCGCTGTGGGATCCGAGACATGCCTGGTCTGACCTTTAGGGTTTAGGGTTGTGGAAACAATCTAGTGTTGTGGAAATTCAGTCATTGGTTCATGTAGCAATGTTTCCTATTGTGGTCATTTGTACTAACTAGAGCCACATAATAAATAGCACGTGATTGGAGCTGTTTTAAGAGAAATTTAATAGTTTGAGAGAGCCACATCGTGTGGCACATGATCCCAAGGTGTTGAAATCCGGTTGTATCACACCACAGTAACCCTCTTCAGCATCCTTAAACCCTGAGAGCCAAGGAAAGGGATAGTGGTAACTGGAATGCGCATCACACCAGTAACTTCATAAGCATGGTCATACGGTACGTATTTCTCCTGGAAAACAAAATTATCATCATGAGTCAGACCCTAATCTCCCATATAAGAAATGCCGTTATGCGCTAGTCATCATGCATGGATGATGCTGCACGGTCCATCAGCCCGAGATGGCTGGTGCAGGAGACGTGGGGGTGGGAAGGGGTGAGCGGATGATGCTGGATGATGCTGTGTGGCCCTGTAGGTGGGGAATCAGGATGGCTGCTGCAGGAAGCAGGATGGGAGGGAATGTGGAATGTCTGTTGGATGGGAAGCGGGAGTGGTGAGCTGGGAGATCGGGGGGTAGGGAAGGGGTAAAGGGTAGGGGGGAAGGAAAAGGAAGAACGGTTAGGAAACAAGCAAATTAGTTTCTCTTTTAGGACGAAAGCTGTAACTATGTCTTGGAATACATGATGTGAGAAGAAAATAACAATCTATGAGTGCTAATAAGAGTGAATTTAAGGTAGAGAAGACATTGGAAGTCATATACTGGGATCTCCCTGAGAGCAATAAGGGCGAACACACCCATACGTAGACTGTCAAACACACAACTCTCACCCATACACTCATCTTCCTCCCTTCCACATACAACTCCCCTCCTTCACACTCACCTTCATCACGACCTCGCTTTGTTGGTGTGTCTTGAAGACATTCACATGGTATCCCCACAGACCGACCCTCCTTGAGAATGAAACCGCAAAGGTATGCACGCACAAGCACGGTCGTACCGTCACCTTAACCCATAGTCACCTTCCTTCCATTCAAATACACCTCATCAGGGAGTAGATAGAGGGAAGGAGGCAGAGAGAGGAAAGGGGACAGGGGGGAAAGGTAGAGGGAGGATACCGTGGAGGAGGGGAAGGGGGAGGTAGCAGAGGGAGGAGGTGAGGGGGCAAGGCAGAGGGAGGAAGCAGAGGGAGGAGATGGAGGAAGGAGGTAGGTGAACACAATCGAGGCAGTATTACAATTAGATCACGTTTTGAGTCAGACTCAAAATATCGACCAACCCTGCTTGAGCCGAAGTAACTAGCATGCTTCACCTCTTTCTTTGTCAACTTGCAAGAAACGGAGTGGTGGTTACCATACCACCAGTGCCGCATACAGTGGTAACCACATGCACACAGGCTGAGGGTGTTTTTGAGAATTCTCAAGGAGTTATTGAGAATTCCCCAAATTGGGGTCGCAGTTACTACCAGTAACACTTACAGTGGTAAGTAACCATGTGCATACAGACTGAGCTGTTGGTTACGAGGACAGTCGAAGTTGAAATCACTGGCATGCTTCAGCTCCTCCTCTGTCAACCCTGGGTAGAAGGAGTCCTGCCAGCATGCAAACAAGCGAGGTAAAAAGCAAGCAAAAACAAACGGGTTTTTCCCTTTAGTGCACATGCCTATGCCTAAAATAGCTCCTCCTCTGTCAACCCTCGGTAAAAGTAGTCCTGTCAGTTAGCAAGCAGAGAGATTGGGGAACACGCATGTCGCATCTGTATGTCACTGGCTTATAAGGCGCCTCAGATGTTGTCACTTGCATGCTTCACTTCACCTCCTCCTCTGTCAATCCGCAATAGAAGGAGCCTGTCACCACGCAGGACAAAGAACAAGCAAACAAGCAGAAAGTAAGGGGAACAAGCACGTTTGCATGTGAACGTCACGTCACTGGCTTTCAAGGCGTCACAAATGTCCTCACTGGCATGCTTCAGTTCATCTCCTCCCGTGTCAACCCTCGCATCACAAATGGCGTAACTGGCTTGAAAGAGGAGGAGCTGAACCTGCCAGTGACGCCTTGAAAGCCAGTTCATCTCCTCCCCTGTCAACCCTCGGTGAAAGGAGTCCTGCCAGCACGCAAGCCGAGAGCTTGGGGAACACGCACGTCGTCACGCATGGGTCTTGAGGCATCTCAAACCTCCTCACTGGCATGCATGCTTAGGTTGAGCTCCACCTTTGTCAACCCTCGGTGAAAAGAGTCCTGGCAGCACGCAGGATAACAAGCGTGCAAATACAGAGTTTGGGGGACACGCATGTGCATTTGTATGTCACTGCCTTTCAAGGCGTCATAAATCTCGTCACTGGCAAGTTTGAGCACCGTATTTCACCTGGAGCACCAGCACCAACCTGTGGTCGTGCAGCTGCGGAAATATCAATTGCTAAGTTGACTTCACAATCACAACTCCTGCTAATGCACCATGTTGCACCAAATCACTCGAGGGGATCACCAAATCACATCTCATCCCACCTGGTGCACCACCAGCACCAACCTGTAGTCGTGCATCTGCTGAAGGGTCACAGCTGAGTAAACTCGAGGGGATCACCAAATCACATCTCATCCCACCTGGAGCACCACATTGCACTGCATTCCACCGCACTCAACCCCATCACACCGTATCTCACCTGGTGCACTAGCACCCACCCGGTGGTCGTGCAGCTGCTGAGTCGACCCAGCACTTACAAAACAACCACATCTCCTCTCTTTCCTTGCACGGATTTCCACCGCACTGCACCGCATCTCACCTGGTGCACCAGCACCCACCCGATGGTCGAGCAACTGCTGAATGACCAACTAATGAGTCAACTCGACAACCACAACTCCAGCTTTTCTCTCTCCTGACGCACTCCTTATGCACTATTTTTCACCGCACTGCACCGCATCTCACCTGGTGCACCCCCAGCACCACCCAATAGCCGTGCAACTGCTGAATGACCAACTATTGAGTCAACTCAACAACCACAACTCCAGCTTCTCTCTCTCCTGACGCACCGCTTTGGCAGCAGGGGGGTGGCTGTCGATGGAGGGGTGGAGGCCTGAGATGTGCACCTGAAATCTGGTCTGGAAGGGTAGAGGGGAGGACACACAAGCACAGGCGACTGCTGAGGTAAGGAAGAAGTGGCAACGGGGGGATGGCTGTCAAAGGAGGGGTGAGGTGGAGGGGAGGGGAGGCCTAACACGAGCACTTGGGAGCTGGTCTGGAGAGGGGGAGAGGAGAGGACACACAAGGACAGGCGACAGCTGAGGAAAGGAAGAAGAGGCAATTGGGGGATGGCTGTAAGTGGAGAATCAGAGAAGAGGCCACCCAGGCCTGAGATGAGATGAGCACTTACGAGCTGGTGAGGAGGGGGGAAGAGGAGAACACACAAGCATAGGCAAGTTGCTAGAAAAGGAAGAAGAGGCAACAGGGGGATGGCTTTCAATGGAGACGTAGGGCGCAGGGGACGCCTGACACGTGCACTTGGAAGCTGGACTGGAGAGGGGGAGAGGGGAGGACACACAAGCACAGGCGACTGCTGAGGTAAGGAAGAAGAGGCAATGGGGGGATGGCTGTCAATGGCGAGGTGGGTTGCGGTGGAGGCCTGACACGTGCACTTGGGAGCTCGACTAGAGAGGGAGAGGGGAGGACACACAAGCACAGGCGACTGTTGAGGTAAGGAAGTAGAGGCAACGGGGGGGTGGCTGTCAATGGGGAAGCAGGGTGGAGGGGAGGCCTGAGATGTGCGCTTGGGAGCTGGTCTGGATAGGGGGAGAGGGGAGGACACACACATGCGAAGGCTCTACTGCAACGGCGTACGAGCCGTTGCAGTGTAGAGCCGTGGCAGTGTAGTGTTTATAATTATATTCATATTGTAGTGTGGCATGCATCCTAACTAGTGTAGTATCATCTAGGTCCTATTGTTGGTGGTGTACCCCCCTTCCCACCTTCCCTTGAACTATATCTGTAACTCTTTCTATAATGCAAACCCCTTCTTCTCTCTTCAACATCTCTCGTTACTCTCGTTCCATCCTTGCCATGGCTCCTAAGGCTACTAAGTTATGACCCTATTCTGACATGTAGAGCCATTGTGGTTTTGTTGCACTGCAACAGCGTACGAACCAGCGCAACAGAACCAGCAGCGCGCCGAGCCCATGTACGCGTCAGCAAAAATTGAAGCAGCAGCGCGCCGAGCCAATCACCTCGAGGGCTTTCTCGATATCCTCCAGAGTGTTGGCCATACTGCACCGGACTGCACCGAACAGAACCGCAGTGCTTCTCCGCAAACAGGTTCGACTCATAAGCCACCCTATAGGAATCACCCGCTAATGCTGTTGGCTGCTGCTGCTGGTTGCCTAGCCTAGTGCCGCTAAAGCGTTTAATCTGTTCACACGCTCTATACTGAGATTATCTTCAAGCTCGTATCATGAGCTTCTATTCAGAGATAGTATCGAAGGCTAGCGGCCCTGCTCGCAGGCGCGCATCGTCCTTTACTCGGTCGCGGGTACGTCAAGGTTGGCGGTGGGGCGGGGAGGTGCGGCGCACGAGGTAGCGTACGTGCAGGGCACCACGTGCGGGGCAGGCACTGTGCGCGGGGCAGTGTATGGGCAGGGGTAACAACGGTAGGTACGGACCTAACCTAGCGACTGGTACCATGACAAAAGTGGAAACAGCGGAGTGAATGCACTAACACAAGATTGGGTACATATGGGAAACCCTAACTAGAATGTACCCTTTAGAGTGTGCCTCACTGTAGCCTACAACCTAACACATGCATGTTGTTTGACATCCCCATGCTTTCCCTCATTTCCCCCGTTACTTTCCCACGTTTCTCCACCTGCTACTCCTCATTCTCTCCCCTTGATTCCCCTCATTTTCTCCCCTTGCTTCCCCTCATTTTCTCCCCTTGCTTCCCCTCATTCCTTCCCCCTATGCCCCTCGTTTTCCCCCTTCGTACTTTCCCACGTTTCTCCCCCTGCTTCCCCTCATTCTCTCCCTTGCTTCCCCTATTTCTCCCCCCCCACTTCCCCTCATTCCCCGCATTCTTATCTTGAATCCCCCCTCCTTCCCATCATCACAGGACTAAAGTAGAAAAATTGGGACTACAGTTTTTTAACCATCTTTTGAACTCCATGCGGAAATGTATATGCTCTCTTTGACAGAACATCATTCTCTAAGGAAGAAACTCAAACCAGTGATGCATCTAACAATCTAGTAAAGCTTTCATTTTGCAGAAAGGCCACACTGTTGTGTTTCCATGTGATTTTAAATGAGCACAAGCACCACAAACAGAGAAAGAACCAGAGCCAGGGAGTTTCCATACAGGGCAAGCCTGCCAGCATCTGTACAACCCGTGAAAAAGCACGCACGCACGCACGCACACACACACACACACACACACACACACACACACACACACACGCACACACGCACACACACACGCGCGCATACACACACACACGCGCGCACACACACACACACTCATACACACTCACACACATACACACGCACACACACACACACACACACACACACACACGCACACACACACACACGAACACACACACACACGACCAGGGTATGAAGCTAACATGGTATAGCAGCAGCTGTCAAGACGCATTGGCATGCAGCAACAACAAAAGGGCATGGCACTGCATTTTTGCCAGTGTCCATGCGGCACTCGCACATTGCCGCCTCTTGCTGTCGCAGCATCATTACTTGGAAGGGCTGCCCTAGGAAGTTGAAGTGACTCAAAGCATGCTTGCAGCATCCACACCCCACACGCACCTTTGCCATATTTTGTCACCGGGTCGTAGCTGGTAAGCGAGCCCATGTTGGAGGGAAACACCAGGTCAGATACAAAAATCGCGGTCATGTCAGATGATGATACAGTCTTGCCGAGAGTTGTAGTAGTGTTTTGTGTTAAACTAAGACCGTATATCACAACCGCCACTGCTTTCGGCCCTCCAGCACCGTTTCCTGCTATGAGTCCATTCGTAGGGTACGTAGTGGGGTCAACGGAGCCACGGTCGGTCCCAGTGAAGGCGTGATCCAACCCGTTCAAGCTGGCATATACGAGGGCGCCAGTGACGTTGGCGTAGAGATAAATTGGCTGGTTGACCTCCGTGTCGAAGCTGAACCGCCCGGTCTTGTACTGGTTGGGAGGGACATAGATTTGTGATAGGCAATGGGACGATCATGTGTGAGTTGCAATGACAAGGAACGAATGGAGTGCGACATCCACGCACGGGAGTGATGCAAACGCAAAAGAAATATGATTGTGCTTTCCACGAGGGCGGGTCACTTACGTTGCCACTGGCCATGTCAGTAGTTAAGATGGTACCGCGGATCGCCATGAACTTAGCGAGGCGCGACAGGGCGTTCTTGGCGTTGGCGGACATGGCGTTGAGGGCCGACACGGACCCCGGCGATTTCACTATCGTGTCGAGCGCCTCAAAAACCGGGTCCGACGCGGGTGTAGCAGACCGGTTGTTGGTTTTGTAACCCGCGAGTGCGTTGGTCCAGCCGTCATTAATCGGAAAAAGATGTGTGCTTCCGGAAATGTCATCGACCTTGTCGTATCCAGCAGCGAACTCCACCACTCCCGCAGTCATGTCGGCGAGCTGACCTTCCACGGTTGACGTGTAGCGGATCTGACTCAGCACGTACAAGAGAGGAACTGCATCCACGAGGCGTGGCGGGAGAGTCGCCACCCATAACGCAGAGCAGAGTACGGCAAAGGCGAGGACCCACGCCGACGACGGAGATTGAACACCATGGCGGCGAGGGAGTGTCCACTGGAGGAAAGGCATCGCGCGCTGCGAGGAGTCGCTGACGAGGCTTGAGATTCCCAAGGCACGAGGAAGGTTCTGAAGTAGGTGATAGTAGTGAGAGAGTTGGTACCACAAGTGCTACGTGGAGTATTAGAAGCGGCCGCCTTATAATGGTGCCTCACGGGTCCCTCCAAAGGAATGAGTAAAACTGGAGGGACGGCGAAGACTGATACCCTCGGAGTGCGACGAGGTTGGTTGGTTGGTACACTCGGAGTGTTAGTTGGGTGGACGGCTGGTTTGGTTGGGTGTGCTGACGTGTAGATAAGGGAGGGTGGGGATTGATGGGCTGTTTTGCAACTTGTAAGATGGCATTCCTGGGGATGGCCAAACGCCAAACGTCTAGACATTTGAGCCTCGGGGCCACGTGGCTTCAACGTGGCAGCCCACCAACACGAACCTGGCATTCCAATGTGTTGGAGTGGTTCGCGGAACCACACTAACGACGGCTCTCATAATTCGGACCGACGACTAAGACGGACTGACGGTGGCGTGTTGAAAGTGCCTTGGGAACTAGAGAGGAAACTACGACATTGCTTGGGAGTGTGAGCTGTGGGAAGTATGGAAGGAAGAAATCGACGAGGAAGAAGTGAGGCGAAAGTGTTTGACGAAGGAAAAATGAGTGGGTCAACCGTGGCGTGTTCCACAAGGAACCAAATGCGGACTTCAGGCGCGTTCGACGAAGGTGGAGAAGGTTGCTTGTGCGACGCGGGGTGAAACGAGGCGAGACGTAACATGTTGAACACGTTTGGTTACCTAGCTCATTTGTGTACCGTGCTTGAACCTATATATTTCTTGTACCAAGTTGTTGAAGTAACACTTTGGAAATTCTCTCGGCGAAATGACGCGCATCGGCGGAAATCGCGTTTCTCTCAATTGCATCGATCTAAATTACTCCGATCTCGTCACGTGGGCGTTTCCCTTAATTGGATGGATCGCGTTTGCGCCAGCCCTCCCCCAACCCGATTTTCCCGCCCTTCCCCTCCAAATTCGGGCAGCCGTGTGTACTCGCGTGAAATCACAAACAGTCACGATTTTAAATAGGTAGAGATTTTATTTGACTATCCTGATTAATACTATTTAGAATAGAAATATTACCCTCCGATTACAAAGATTGTAAAAGAAAGAAGAATAAGTTAATGCAGTGGCACACAATTAATAAAACCCATATTAATGTTAAGATCAGTCAAATTTATTTTAATTGTTATGCTATTATTAATTACATAATAAATCAGATTTTAACGACTGGTTATATTTTATATGAAAATGATGAATTAAGTAAAGGTACTAAGTTAAATTTTAATGTCAGAATGTTGTATTTGTCTAGCCTGCAGTGGGGTACTCTATAGCGAGTACAGCCCAATTTAGGGTTTCCTATATGTACTCAACTGTCTGCTAGTGCAAACCCTCTTTCGTGTTCTATCTTTCTGCCTACTGATTCTGACATTTAACTGTGCGTTCCCCAACGGCTCCTAGCACAACCGAACGTGCACGTCATTCAACATTGAAGAACAAACAATCACTGCTTCCATGTCACTTTGGCGCGCGTAGTAAATCACCAATGTTCTGTCCAATCAGACGACGCTCGCATGTTGAAATCTTAGCGTTAGGAAAAACATGTATTCGTGACTGCTTGTGATTCCACGAAATTCGAGCGGGTGCCCGGAATTCGGTTAGGAAGGGCGGAAAAATCGGGTTGGGGGGGCGGGCGCAAACGCGGTCCATCCAATTAAGGGAAACGCCTACGTGGCGAGGTCGAAGTAATTTAGGTCGATGCAATTGAGAGAAACGCGATTTCCGCCGATGCGCGTCATTTCGCCAATTCTCTCGCTTCAAACATTGTGCTTCATCCTGATTGGTCGAAATTTGTGACACTTCGTGAGACTCCCGTCAGATTCGCGTCAAACCTACGGAGAAGCCTTTGTGAAGGCTTAGACAAGCAATAGTGACGGAAATTTCAGCCGCGAGACTCCCGTCAAAGCCCCGCGAAGGGCCAAAATCTGTTTCACTCGAGTGTAGGGCCCGCGAAAGCCCCGTGAAGGATCAGTGAACACCACGCGAAGCTGAAATCGCATCAGGATCGCGCTAGGGTTGAGTGAAGGCCTCGTCGAGGCCCCGTTAAGGCCGCGTAAGCCTCCCGTGAGGCGTTTCGCGACCAACACAATGTACCTCCGTGCGACGTTTTCGCACGACTGGTGTTCAGTAGTGTAGTTGACTCAACGTCAGACTTATCCGAGCATGTGGGTTGGATGGGGCTCCGAAGGGACGTATAAATCAGGAGGGACTCAGCCTGACGGAGTGGTTCCTCGTACCATGGCTCTGTTCCGCAGGCACATGCCTTGGGGGGGAGGAGGGGGGGCGAGAGTAAATGACGAGGGTTCCGGAGCAAATTCCCTGTCGAAATCACCCCCACCCCGCTACAACCGAAAGCAGGAAATTTCGGGAGCAGGGGGGGAAGGTGCCGACGGTAAATGACGCATTTACCTGCTCAATTTCGCGCCCAACAGGCAGGGGTACATCGAATCCATCAAACCCAGAGAAGGGAAGATATCAGTGACATCCCTCCGGGAACCCGCTTTCGCCCCTGCGGGATTTCCCTCGAGGGATTTTTGTTTTCTCGCCGTCGCCTAGCGGGGCACACGAGGGGCGGGAGCCGACCACCCCGCCCGCCCGAAACTACCCCCGCCAGCTCGGAGTGACGCGAGGTGGTCCCCGCTCGAGCTGGCGTTGACCCCACGTGCTCCCCCCTCCCCCACTTTTTTCTCGTCGAGGAAATCCGTCTCCGTCGACGGATTCCGTCTCGACTCGACGGAGCGTGAAACGGAAAACGCAACGCCTGAAACGCGCCATTGCGTAATTCACTACGGAGCACCGCTGCAGCTAAAAAATAATACGTGTATGTAAAAATGAAAGCTTAAACAGCAATAGGCAAACTTAATGAGAAATTGGAGGCCCTGTAAAATTAGGCAGACCCTCAAATAAAAAATAAAAGCCCTATCAACGTAGTCTCATCTATTATACAAGAATATATTTTCATGTTTGACGATAATCACCAAATCCCAATTAATTCGACAAATAAGAGTGTATCGTGAGCCACAACCATTGTACAGAATGTGAGCCACTACTGTTTGTGGATTTCCTTTTGATAAATCTCAACGCAAAGTGCTGACAGCTGCGCTAGACGCACTACGTCAACTTCGGGATACCAGTCCGCATGTCGACTTCGCCAAAGCCTTCTGGGGCGAAGGGTCGCACACCTGCCAAGTTTCGCAGTCGAGCAGCTTTACTCAACTAGTTTTGCCAGAACTATATTGTAGGCTGTAGTGGGGTAGACAATATGGGGTACAACTCTTTTAGGTTTTCATACTTGTACCCACCTGCTTCCTATTTCATTCATTCCTCGTTATTATTCTCACATGGTATTAGAGCAGAATCGTTCCTAGGGCCCACCGAACGTTCCGCCCTGCCCTAACTGATTTTTTTTTTTTTTTTTTTTTTGTAGCTGCCTCTGCAGCCGCGCTGCCCTTGCAGCCCGCGTGTTGCCTCTGCGACCGTGCTGCCCCTGCAGCCGTGCCTGCCCCTGCGGCCGCGTGTCGCCCTGCAGCCCGTGGACGCTGCCTCTGCAGCCCGCGCGCCGCCCTACCGAGCCGCGTGTTGCCCCTGCAGCCCGTGGGCGCTGCCTCTGCAGCCCGCGCACCGCCCTGCCGAGCCGCGCGTCGCCCCTGCAGCCCGTGAGCGCTGCCCCTACGACATGCGCGCCGCCCTGCCGAGCCGCGCGTCGCTCCTACTCGTCGCGACGCCCCTGCGGGACCCGCGCGGCGTCCCCCCCCTGCTCGTCGCGGCGCCCCCTGGACGCCGCCCCTGCTCGTCGCGTCGCCCCTACTCGTCGCGGCGCCCCCTGGGCGCCGTCCCTGCTCGTCGCGGCGCCCCCGGGGCGTCGCCCCTGCTCGTCGCGGCGCCCCCTGGGCGCCGTCCCTGCTCGTCGCGGAGCCCCCCTGCAGCAGCTGCCGCGGAGCCCCCTGCAGCAGTCGCGGCCCCGCCCTGCAGCAGTCGCGGCCCCGCCCTACAGCAGCTGCCGCGGAGCAGCCTGCAGCAGTCGCGGCCCCGCCCTGCAGTAGCTGCCGCGGAGCCCCCCTGCCGCCGTCACGGCCCCGCCCTGCCGCTGTCGCGGCCCCGCTCAGCAGCTGTCGCGACCCTGCCGTCGCCACCGTCGTGCGCCTGCCCTGCTCGCCCGGCGAGCGCCTGACCTTCCCGCCACTGGTGAGCACCTGCCCTACACGCACATCCCGCGCGCCTGCCTTACTAGCGCGCTGCCGCGCCAGCCTGCCTGCCTGCCTGCCGCGCCTGCCTGCCAGCCGAGCCGCGCCGCCCAGCTGAGCCGTGCTGCTCAGCCACGCCGAGCCGCCCAGCCGAGCCGCGTCGTGCTGCCGAGCTGTGCAGCCCTGCTCCACTGAGCCTCACTACTGCTACTGATGTTCCTGCTGTTACTGCTGCTACTACTGCTACTACTGCTACTGCTGCAACTGGCGGTGGCCAGATGCAGCTTCAGCGACGTCCGCGCGAGTCTCTCACGCCCCAGCAGCTTCGTGAGTGGTACGCTAGTTGGGGGTGTGGCGGTGGCCGTAGTGGCTGTCGCCCTGGAGCTGGTCAGTCGGGAGCGTCTGGCAGTGGCCAGATGCAGCTGCAGCGGCGTCCGCGCAAGTCTCTCACGCCCCAGCAGCTTCGTGAGTGGTACGCTAGTTGGGGCTGTGGCGGTGGCCGCCGTGGCTGTCGCCCTGGAGCTGGTCAGTCGGGAGCGTCTGGCAGTGGCCAGATGCAGCTGCAGCGGCGTCCGCGCGAGCCACTTACGTCACAGCAGCTTCGTGAGTGGTACGCTCAGAGTAGAGGGTCTCGGAGTACCGTTCGCTGCCCGTACGTCATTCGCACAGGTGATCGGGCTGGTCAGGCTTGCGGGACGGTTGGTCACACGCAGTCCCCCTGCT